CATTATAAGATGTATGGAATGCCCACATTTTACAACTATATTATAGATTCTGAGTGGTGCCATTAATGTATTGATTTTAAAATGATTTTTTTTTTGTCTTTCATCTTTTGAAACAGCAAAAATGTTTCGATTTTCTTTCTCTGCCAAAAAACTTTAAAATACAATACGACGTTATTCGTATGTTGTTGTTATTTTCAATATTTTTAATGATTGTCTGTAGTTAAAATATTGAGAAAATTCATCAAAATCGAGAAAATTACAAATTATTTCGAGTTAGAAATTCATACAATATTTTCTATTTATATCTAAGCTTTGAAAATTGAATACAAGATTCTCTTTAAGTTTTCTTACATTTAACAAAAATAATTTTACCTGAGTAACAATTCTTTCTTTTACTAGCGTTTAAAGTTAAACATTAAGAAGGCAAATAAATTAACAAATACTATGAGTATTTACAATACGTTTTTTATTATTTTGTTGGTTTTATAGCTAATAATTTAAAATTTAAAATTAGGGTTCTCATAAACAGTTTCTATTGTATCCAAAAAATCTAATCAATGTATGTACATTGATTTTTTTTTATTGACATTTTAAGATCAAATTTTAACAAAATTACATAGTATAAAACCAAGAATAACGATTTTAGTTATTTTGTTGTTATATTTAAAAAGACTTTTAAAGTTTGTTAATATGTTGTACATTTATAGTAAACACACAATGCCATTTTCAAATGTAATGCTTTTAGCCAACACGAATTTAACCTACTAACGCCGAACAGTAAAATTAATTATTTAATCACAATAATATCATAAAATAAACTTAATAAATAGTAATATAATTATAGGCTGACAGACTGTCTTCGTTCAAAATCGTTTTTTTGTTTACAATGACTTAAATCATTGAATTTAAATTTATCACATCCATTACATAGATTCTCTAGACACCTAATGTATTGCATCAGATAATTTTGTAATATCACATCAACACAAATTATTTTTTTTCTTTTTTTTTATAGCTGAAGTAATTCTAGGTACGTATATTATTTTATATTCAAATTAATTGTGTGTAAATGCATCTTAGTATTTTAACCACTGAGTTGAATTATTTAAACATGTTTTTAAACACTTTTGTGGTATACCTATGATTAATTTAAGAATTTTAAATTTATTAGAAACTAAAATAAACTATAAAATAAAATAAAAACTAAAAATGAATCAACTACCTATATCTATTCAATATTTTGATTCGTGTAAAAAATTATACAACTTACAGTCAATAATGTATAGATAAATATATATTTTAATTACGTATTGTAACATTTAATAGTATTCTCTGTTTACTGGAAAGGAACGTAATTTTTTATGAGAGTTTAAATTTTAATATGTTTACAATATTGCAGGATATTCACCAGTAAATTATCGTATTCCGCATCGATTGATTTTTGATATTTTGTTGTGATTCAAAACCGAATTAACCGTGAAACATGACATTTTCACCAAATGCTTATAACAGCACTTTTCATACATGATATTCAAATATGTTAGACTGAACGTGGACGCGCCATCTTTGCTTAAAATAGTTTTTCGTTTACAATTATATTTTTTCAAATTTAACACATCCAATACAATGGAATACTCGATAAATATTGTACAGCAAAGCCGTGCCCCGTTGTCTTCCTTTTAAAATATTTTTTTAGTTAAAATGTATTTATACGTGATTACTAAGAATGTATATGTCGCATCCACATAATGAAATCATTCATTTCATTAACTGGATATCCAGATGGTGAAATCCATCCAGATCGTGAATTTTGACGAAAATACATTATATGGACATCCATTTCATGAAATGGGCAATACTTATATTGTGTACTTGGTGTAATTATTATAAAACGAGATTGTTATGTTATTTAGCAATAAATAGCTTACATACCATACTTTTCAATATCAATGAAGATAATGAAATGTTTTATCCGTGATCTATATCTATTATATTATGAGAATGATATAAAATTTAATTTCGGTAATTCCACATTCGATATCAAATGAATGTTTCCTTATCGGGTGACGGTTGACGAATACCTATGTAACTCCTGAGTTGTTCAACAAATAACATTTAGTGAGTGTTTGTATCTAACACAGGTACTAGGTATTGTACTTGCAGTTTATACGTGTATTTATTATTTTACATGGATATTTTAAATACAAATGGAAGAAAGTAACGTATTTTATGAAAAGCTAGATGAATATTATAAATTGAAATCTAAAAAAAAACCGTTCACTAAATGTGATCAATTACAGATGATTGCTGTAGTAGAAATGTCTAAAATCAAAACGTAAGCAATTTTGGACTTAAATAAAAATTAACTTAATTAAATCAAATATAAATTATAACACGTTTAAACAACTATAAAAAACTACTCGATAATTGATACAAATTGTACATAATCTTTTTTAATATTATTTATTCTAACAGTGGTAAAAAAGATCGACAACAATATTATCTACTGTCTAAATATGATGTATTTTTGTCTTGTTGGTGTAAGGCAAAAACTCCTTGCCAATCAAGTGGTGTGCTTGTTTTAAAAACAATATATGTAACAGCCGATGCCATAATCAATTATCGTGTAAAAATAAATATTAAAATAAATAATAAAGAAGAAAAATGTATATAGGTATAGTTGATTAATTAGGTATTGTTTAATTAAATCAATTAATTATTTTGTTACTAAAAAATATAAGACATATAGGTAGTTCAGTAATATAAGTATAATTAATTTCATGAATATGTATTTCATAATACTTCATTGGTAACACTGTTGTTTATAAATTATAAAAAATAATATAAAAATATAATATAATTTATTATGACTATAATTATTGTTATATTTTTGTTCATAGAACAATATAGAAAAGTATAGTTATAATACTATGATATCTGGTTTTATAATAATCACACAAAGTACACAAAATAAGTATTGTCCATTTCATGAAATGGATGTCCATATAATGTATTTTCGTCAAAATTCACGATCTGGACGAATTTCACTATCTGGATATCCAATTCATGAAATGAGTGATTTTACTATTTGGATGCGACATGTACACAAAACAGCGACATAAGTAAGAATGTAAGAATAAGTCCTGTAGATAACAAATATGGGAAATCAATTAAAATTGTTCACCTGATGAATAAAAATAATAATTTATTTTATAATTCAATAATAAAAATAATTTATTGAATCTATTGAATATTAAACTGAAAGAACTACTGATGTGTATATGATGTAGAATACAAATAATAGATGTATCAAAAACAATTGGAAACTGTCACAATGTAGTTTATTCTTACAGAAATGGTAAAACAATATTCAAAGTTTTTGGATAATCATCGTCATTGCAGTAAGTATAATTAGCGTGCGTATTAAAAATGAAAATTGTGACTTGGTGAGGCGCGGTCTTACGCTCAATCTGCGGAAACGCTCGGAGTGTACGTACCGGCGGCTGGCGTTGCTAGCTCCTGGATGGGTTTTTACCAAAATATCCTTGTCACTCATGAACAAACATGTGGTACCACCATATCAACATAAAAACCTACTTTAAAAAATAGACAAGAAACCCCTACTGTTGTACCACCCCACACTCAAAGGTCTATGTTGCCGCGAGTTCCCCCTAAAAAGAAATTATAATTTATTCTATTACTACTGTATCTATAATGGTAGGTACAAGGTACCTACCTAATTGTGTAATGTCTATATAATCAATGTAAAATAGAGCACGACTGATTGTAAAATAAGAATATGGTGTTTGAATGCTGTTGCAATTGCTGTTTATATTCAATACACGATAATTAAATACAAAAAATAATTTGGGTTTCTTTAGAATATGATAAAAGAAAATTCCAATACCTATTTTCATGGTAAAAATGATTGAAATAGCTTTGTGTTAAAAAAACTAAGTGATTTGCAGTAAAATTTTGAATTTTTTCTTCATATATTTATACACTCAACATCTACGAGTTTGTGGTAGGGCAATCTAATGCACACAATTAACAAATCTAATACCAATTAATTTTTTAGTTGGAGGTGTCCGAAAGCCGCTAAGTTACTTCTGTGAGCTTGCTATGTTCAATAAGCTTTTCCAGACGTCAATAATAAAAACTACCTAACTCAACCCAAAGTCCTATTCCTAACCTAACCTATGATGATGGGGAATAAAAACTTCTTTTATTTTTCCCCCTTTTTTAACCTATTTTATATTTAAATTTATATTTATATAAATTTATATATAATTATTATATATATTATACTATTTAAATTCTAATTATTCTAGGCTTATACTATGTAACTTGTAATAATTATCCCTTACAGTATAATGGCTTACGCATTACAATGACATCTTAATTGTATATATATTTCATATGCCCGACCATACATTGTAACACAATTTTGCCTTTCCCTTTATATTGTATCATTATTATTACCATTCAATTCTTAGCGGAGTTAAATAAATATATATTGATTTTAAAATCCTGTGTTTTTTTTATCACCTTTGAGGCTTCGTTATCACTATAGGTCGGATTTATACTCTCTTAAAACTCTTAAAATATGATGTTTTTATGTCTTTTAAATTTCTCTTAATATTCTTTTAAAATACTTACCAGATATATGACGTTATATGTCTTTAAAAATGCAAAATATTCTTTCAATGTTAAAAAAAAAAAATAATAATACTTTGCTTTTTTATGCGAAATATTTTTTTTGCTTAGTGTATTTATAAAGACAATTAATGTTGCTCAATATTATTATTATTCCAATCTTACCTATAAAGTTTTATTCGACGATTCAAGACCCTTTTTAACCTTTATCGACGCACATTCATACCCATAACCCATATAATTACCTACTTTAGTTATTTTCAGTAATATAAAATATGTCATGGGACTGTTGATCATCATATTGAAAGTAGGTTGTTCTGTCAAATTAATATTAAGTGGTAACTTTAATGTTAAATGTGCAGTGCGTTCCCGAAATGGGCCATAGACACTTTCGAAGAAAATTATATTAAGAACATTCCGGAAATTGTTTTGGCAAAGTAATCATTCATTGATCTAACCTGCAGCGGGTAGTGACTTTGCCAGTTTGCCATAAAGACCAGCTCGTTCAAAACCAAAAATATCTTTAATTGTTTCCTGGACATGAAACAAGAATATACTCGGTAGTCAGCGTTGTCCTAAAGCATTACAATTTAAAATTAATTTTGTGTCAACAAATATGCATTTTCTCATTTATTGTATTAAAAAAATTAAATATATAAATAAATTAAACGTTGAAACTAGAAAGTGTGACACAAACATTAGTCCGATATTGACGTCATCGCTCTTTCAAAACAACCCCAACCTGCAATTGTCTCACTGAACCAAAGGTAGGTAATAAACCATAATTATTACATAATTTATAATAATAATAATAAAAATAATAATTTTACATATTTAATTTTTTGTTTGAGCATTAAATGCTTGCTATAATTTTGTTCTTATTAAAATAAAATTCCATAAGTCATGTAAAATACCATTTACATTTTTGAAACACAGAAAAAAAGCGGGTACCTAAGTGGATGTCGCTCATCTGCTGTATAGGAGGTTACAAGTGGATGTGATAAATTTGAATTCAATGATATGAAATCATTGTATACGAAAAACGATCCTGTGCGAAGACGGTCTGTCTGCAGACTGTAACATTACTTATTATAGGTATTTGATGATAATATTGTGATTTTAAGTAAATTTTTTTACTATTAGGCAATAGTACTACGGTAGGTTAAATTCGTGTTTGCCAAAAAAATTACACTTGAAAAGTGTTTGTATGTATAAAATATAGTAATATACTCTAAACGTTTCAGGTATCCAAGCTAAAGCTAAAGCTAAACAAATTGAAAACTGAAAAAGTCAGTAAACAGCTCAAGATGATTTAAAATGTTTTGAAAAATGTTCAAGTATAGGTATTGGTATGGGGTAAATTTAAAGTATCTACAGTTATTCCTTTTTGAATTACAATAAAAAAGAAAATCGTTAAACATTATGAGAATTCTAGTGAATTCAATGTTGTAAAAATTTGAACTTCAAACGCTCCTACAAATTGAATTTGACTTTTCGCCTTTCGCTACACTTTTTTTGAAAAAATAAATAGACAAATTATGGGGAATTTTGAATTAAATCTTCAAATCTTAGATAAAAAAAGAAAACTTTTAGGAATTTCTAACTCAAAATAATTAGCAAATTTGGGTGATTTTTACGTATTTTGTCAAAATTCGAAATTCAGACGCTCATAAAAAAATGTGTTGATTTACGCTCAACTTTTTTTAATTTCCACTAACATCAACTTACGAGAAACCTTGTACTACATTTTCGAGTTTTTTGATGGAGGGAATAAGTTTTTATCGACATTAATTTTTAAAAAACTAATAATAATCGAAAATTTCATATGCCTATTAATAGTTCAACATGAGTTAAAATATTTCGAAAATGTTATGGTGTACCTATGGAAAATGCTTATATATACAAATATGAATGTAGATTGTAGGTATATTCAGAGAAAGTGTCATGCATCTGTATCTGTTATTTGTTTTAGATTTTGTCAAAAACCGAATAAGAGTATAAATTTCCGTTTTTTTTTGTTTTTCCTGGCGCTTTTGAAAACGTCTGGGAACTTTAAATTTTGACCTCCTGAATGCACCAACTAGATTCACTTTCCAACCGAACAAAATTCTGAAGTTGAAAATTGAAGCATTATTTCGACTAGGTACTTATCATGTACACATACAAAAAAAAACAACAACACATCATTGTAAAAATACTCATCGCTCAGCTCAGAATCTAAAGAGTTATTAAATATTAGGTTACGGTAATGGTAGGTAGGTACATCAACATTTTTAAACTGTATAGGTAACGCAGATATAAAAATGTTGAGAACCTCTGCGATGGACGATAGCAATTTGCAAACCACTAAGCCACACACCAGTATCAATGTTAAAATAGATTGAACTATGGTACTATTATAATTTATAATGAGTATTCAGATAAACATAAACTATATAATTCTTTTACACAATATCATTAGTCATATTTTTTATACTATTATAATATAATATAATCGATGGACGATGATAATAGGTACTTATGTATTGATAATGCCATAAAATCAAACATGTATCAAACGACTTTTATATGGTAGGCACTGTTTGTGTTTTTAATTTAACTTATACAATATAGGTAGGTGTACCTATCGTTATAGACAAAGCCAATAAATAAATAATTTATAATTTATATTGTAATAGATAACAACATATTTTGTGCTTTGCTGCAAATTCTACGCTGCTTCAACTTTGATTTATCTACAGTGGACAGTGGTCTATTGTTGTTTTGTACCTAACCATACATCTGTATATGACATCATGACCGGCGTCATCTATGATGATAACTTTACCACGCACAAATGTTTATGGGACGAAAACTACTCAGAGAATCCCCAGCGATATACATCTGTACTAGACCGGTAAGTCTGTATCACAGGGGTTAAAATTTAAAAAAAAAAAGTAGATAGTATATAATATGTATATATGTATTAACCTATTGTTAAAGTACTGAATTATATTTACTTATGCATACTATTTAATTCATACAGATGTAATTCATTGGGATTGATCGATCGGTGTATCAAAATATCATCACGCCAAGCCACCAAAGAAGAATTAGTGTCTAAACATACAGCTGAACATATTGATTTATTAAAAAGTACAGAGCACTACAATGAAGAAAAATTGGAAAAATTTTCCTCAAGATATGACTCAATATATGTACATAACGTATGTTGGCATGTTGCTTAAAAATAAAACTTATAAATATTATAAATTATGATGCAAATAATATACTTAAATGTTGAAAAGTTAATCATAGGTATATGGTATACAAATATAAAATGACAACATAGTTATAGTTTTTAATAGGTACCTAACATAACAATGAGAACGCTATTAACTTATGTTAGCTACATATAGGCTGCAGCATTTAAAATAATATCATGAAAGCCATAAACTAAAAATAGAATAAATAATTCTTTTTACATTTTATGTTTTGCACAGATAATAATAACATTTAAAAAAAGAAAGCTATGCTAAGTTTTCAATTTTTTCTTTTTCGAATAGATTGAGCAGTACATTAAGAAAATTTCTATTTAGTAGGTATTTATCCTATGGGCCAATATCATCATTTATAAAGATAATATTTAAATCAGATATTAAGTGTAGCCGCTGGTTTACTTCATTTCTCTCCTAATTTCATGTCATATTTTATTATTTTGTAGCACATATTCTTATTGTAAAAACTAATTTACAGATTGTATATTTATATATATAAAAAAATAAAGATATTAAAAATTATAATTTTAAATAGACAAGTTATAAATATAAATACATTAGGGGTACCTCATAGTATTTAAATATTTTTTAAAAGTTATTGTTGATACATAGTTGCTTGAATTAAGTGAAGTCTATTATGAACATACATAATTTTTTTTGTGAATTGAAATATGCACTTTAAAGCTACAAAAAACATAATTTAATTTAAAATCCCTATTTAAATTATAAAATAAATATATACTTTAGGTACCTATATTGTTTTATATGCTTATAGTCAACTTACAGACAATCTCTGCTCGCAGCAGGTAGTTCAATTGAATTAGTCAAAGCAGTCGTCGATGGCCGAGTACAAAATGGAATGGCCTTTGTTCGGTATGTGTTCAAAAAAATGCATATTTTTATCATGTTAAATAAATTGTAACAGGCATATAGTTAATTTGGATTTCATCATTATTAGACCTCCTGGACACCATGCCATGGAATCTGAATACAGTGGTTATTGTTTTATAAATAATGTTGCAATAGCTACTCAATATTTATTGGATAAAACGGCTACCCAAAAAATTCTTATTGTCGACTGGGATATTCACCATGGTCAGGCAACTCAACAGATGTTTTATGAAGACTCAAGGTATGTATTTAGTATTTATAGACAGTGTAGTTAATTATGATTTATTTGTTTTATGATGTGTTAACAAATTGTTCAATTAGAGTGTTATATTTTTCTATTCATCGTTATGAACATGGACAATTTTGGCCAAATTTAAGAGAAAGTGATTTTGATCATGTAGGCAATGGTAGTGGTACTGGTTTCAATGTGAATGTTCCACTAAATGACACTGGAATGAAAAATGAAGATTATATGGCTATAATTCATTACTTATTAATTCCTTTAGCAACTGAGGTAAATAAAAGTAGTAAAAAAAACTACCAACCAGTATTTATTTTAATTTATTTAAAAGTTTTCTCCAGATCTCATAATTGTTTCAAGTGGATATGATTCAGCTATTGGAGATCCTAAAGTAGGTACCTATTTATTTTATTTGAGTTAATGTTTTACATTTAATATGTATAATATGCGCAATGCTATATTGCTATACATTTAATACCTTTACTATTTGATTCCACTATGCTAGGGTGAAATGATGGTTACTCCAGCATGTTATGCTCATATTACAAAAAAATTGATGAGCCTTTGCTGTGGTAAAGTAATTGCCATACTTGAGGTATGTTTAAGCTCAACACATTTTCTGTTCCTAATAAACTCCTTTAGACAAATTTATTTAGGGGGGGTACTACTTGAAGAGTTTAGCTGAAAGTGCAGCATTGACATTAAGAGCATTGCTGGGAGATCCATGTCCAGTCATTGAGTCATTACAGCAACCATGTAAAAGGTAAAATGTACAAAAACAATATCTGATTTTAGCAAATAGTTTTATATCCTAAGTGTAGCAATTGGTACCCCTTGACATTTTCCTCCACTCTCAATAACTTTAAATGCTTACCCTTATCCAAATCATATTTTCTTTTTGTAAAAATTCTATTAAACAATTTTCCAAAATGTACGAAATCTCTTTAAGGCTCATGCAAACTTATAATTTTTAAGAAATTAAGTTAATGCAAATTTTTTGTTCCTTGCAGTCTTGTATGTGTTTAGTAAATTATTGTTAGTGTGTGTATACTCCCCAACCATTGTTCATCACATAGATCATAATACAGATTAAAATATTCAAACCTCAATGGATGTGAAGTAGATGTACGCATAACAAATATTTTAGTACTTCCAAACATTTGATTAAAAAATGTTAAGATGCATTAACAAGATTACTATGCATCGATCGGAGCACTTTTTCAATTTTACCAAATCCTTGACAGAAATAGCCATTTTTAATTTCTTATATTAAATATATTAAAAACTATTGACAATATTGAATATATCCTCAGACCAATGCAAAGTAAAATTATCTAACAAATCAGGAATCTTTACATTTTTTATATTAAGCCATTTGAAGTACTTTCATTTTTGTTAGTCGGTTATGAGTTATGCCATTTTTTACAAAAAATTGATTGGGTTTGCAAAGGTTTAAATTGGCTAAGAAAGGTTAAAAGTATATTTTAAGTATGTATTCAGTTAAATGAATCACTCATATTATTAAAATAATGCATATTATTATAGTGTAATGGAATCCATTGGCAACGTGATTTATGCTCATAGACATTATTGGGATTGCTTCAAGTATAATGTTTTTTACAAAGAAAATCTACCAGAAATTCATTACAATTTCTTTGATGAAAAGCCAGGAATATATCAAACAAGAAATATGTATCCAAAAATTGATACTGCAAATTTTGATATAATACTAAACAATATTATAACAGGTACTTTTATGACTAAGCCATATATTTTGATTTAACAATACTTTATAAATTTCACTGTTTTAAAAGAGACCAATCTATTCAATCCAAAAATTAGAGTTGGTTTAATATCCAATGTGAATGAGCATTCAAACAGCAATTTTAAAAATAATGACATCTATCAATATTTAAAATCAAAAATTGGAAATTTACACGTTTTAATGGTAATATGTTTAAATTGCAATTAATAGCTTTACAGAAAAATGTATAAGGTAATTTAAATGTGTTCGAAGTAAGTAAACCACAACTAGAATACAGTAAAATGAGCTCATATTTTATATTTTTTAACTAGCAGTTTACTCTTATACACTTAATAACTTCTTTGTAATTTATTATAGCTCAAAATGTAAGATGTAATTTTATTATTTTTAATGGATATATTTTTTTTACATATAATTGATAATTTGGTTAAAACTATCCAATTCAATTATGTCAACTGTTGGGTATTGTTAAAGTTGACAAAAAATATTATTGTTGTCAATCTAATAAATATAGTATTATAAATTCTAGAAAACATAAGTGGGATTTATTAGTAATTTGTAGAAACTTAAAATTAGTAAAAAAATAAATTCTTTAAAATAGGAATTATAAATAACATTGTAATTTTATACAGGAACGTCAATCGACAATTGAAGAATTTAATATAGTTAATTCACTTGAGTGCATCAAAGAAATATTAAACAAACCGAAGTATATTGATGAAGAAAAGTGTACCAAAATCAATAATGAATGCATTGAAAATAATCCTGTATTTAATAAATATTATTTTTCTGTTGGACCACTACTGCAGGTTTTAAATATTTATCATTTTAAAATTACATTTTAGAATATAAAATAATAATTTTATCAGATAATTGATTCAATTTTTGAAAATGAAATTAAATCTGGGATATTTGTGTCGTCAATTTCAAATATAGGTAAAAATGAAGACTCGTGCACTTTAAATGCTTCCATAATCGGTGCCAACTATGCCATCAAAAAATATTTCTTAAAAAGGTAATAATGATAATTAAATTATTAAAAGACCATACCAAATTTTTTTAAATGTATAAATTATAAATCTCAAACAATTAGTATGGTATTTATGTTTCAGAATATTAATAATTGAACCCAATGAAAATGTTACACAAATCTACTCTAATGACCAAATATTAGTTATTTCGATGGATACTTTATTAAATGGCTCAAAAACTAATAGTGGAAACAATCACATCAATATTTCATGGTCAAAAGTATTAATAAATAAAGGGCTATAACTTGTATTACTTAATAATTTACTTTCATTTTTATGTTGCTTAGAAAATATTGAATGAAGCAGAATTTACTACAATGATGCTACATTTGATTTTACCAATCGCTTATGAATATAATCCTGAATTGATAATTATATCCTCAAAGCTCTACTCTAATATTAATAACATAAACGGTACATATATATAAAAATGATAAAAGTTATTTGATAATTATATTTAAAAAAAAAACTTATATTTTAAGGTATACAAATGACTCCTATTATGTATGGACATCTTATTCAATGGTTAAGTACTTTGGCTAATGGAAGACTCATTGTATATGAACAAGATGCACGCGATGATTCAATGTATAGAAAAAAATGTTTATTACAGTGCTCTAAAGCTTTACTTGGTAAACCAATATCAAAATTAAGCCTGAAAAATCTGTTAAATTTTGAAACCAAAGATATCCTACTCAACAATATAAAAACTCATAGAAATAGTTGGAAATCTTTGCAATTTTAAATAAAGATAATAATTAAAGACCCGATTGTCGTGTGATTGCATTTGTGTATGGCGTGTTCTGTATCCTATAGAAACAAGTTACAAATCCAAATCAAGAGATGTAGATTAATTTAAAGAAAAATTTATTTTTTACCAAATTGCACGTTTTAGGTTCTTCTTTTTATAAAAATCTACTAACGAGTACTTTTGTACTCCATCATCTATTATTAACAGATATTATTTTGTAATTTATGTTACTTCATTTTACAGAAAAAAACTTAATGTACATGATAATATATTTTAATCAAATATTGTAAAACAGATTAAATATATATTTTTATACAAAACTGAATAGTTAACGCCTACAAATAAATAATGATAAAAATAAAATTGAAGTACCTATAAATGATGAAAAATGTGTTATATAATTATTAATGACCAATAAAAATTTGTTTTGCAGGATTTTGCACATTTAAATTGGATTTTTAGTTTTTTGGGTGTTAGTTACACAAAAATCAGGTCTAAAATAATAATATATGATTCATATTTTTAATTCTAAATTATGTTTAGCATAGCTTCCAAATTAATTGATTTATATATTATGTTTATATGAACAGTGACACAACTAGGACTTGGTTATACTGCATATGAATACCTAAATTATGTATTTACATAATAAATATAAAAGTTTGATAATAATTTTATTTTTTTCTAATTTTAAAAGAAAACTAAAGATATTGTAGTTCAATGCATTGTTTTATTTATTAAATATACAATCAATTAAATAAATGTAAAATTGTATTTATGAAATATATTAAACTATTAGTGAGCAAAAGATACCTATAGCTTAAAAAAAAAATATATTGCACAATTGAGAATTTGAAAAAAAATATCACATACAAATAAAATTGGCTTAATAATATTTCAATAATACTAATAAGAAAAATTATTTTCATAATTATATTATCTAAAAAACAAAATTCAATTTTTAAATAAATTATTATAAGTGATAACTTATTGATCACAATAATTAACCTACACAACGCTTACAAAAATAAATTACAAGTATTTCATCCAGATAAAATAAGTATAAGATGCAAAGACTAAAATATTTTTAATCATGAAAATTGAAGTACATTATATGTCTTAAATACATTTTAAAATGTGTACCTATAATAATTTGAATTAGCACAATAGATAAAAAAATGTTAAGAAGAATTGTGTATTTTTCAAAGCTAAATAAAAGTGAATTATTTATTACCTAACACTACTTTTGTGTACAGTGCAATTTTTACTGTAACAATATAAAATCTAAGAGTTTAAATTGTGTAAATACATAATCATAACATTTAAATTTATTTATTTTAGTATACTCTGCATTTCCTAGCGTTGGGTATAAACTAGAGAAATTATAGCAATGACTAGTAAGGGTCAAATGCACTGTCTACAGTTACACTTTGATTACGCATAATCGGCTGATAGCAGATTTTATAACGGACAAATCGGCCAATTAAACTTTGGTTAACTTTAATCGGAGATGGTAAAACTGGCCCTAGGAGAATGATTTTATATGTTCATGTTAGTAAATGGAAAATATACTTATTAGTTATTTTTTTGTTATGTTAACACATGATTTTTTAGGGTGTTTAAGGAAACCTTAACTATTTGTTGAGAAGTACCTTAATTGTTATTTTAACAAAAAATGGATTCCCATAAGTGGACTGGGTTAAGTAATATGTGGGCTCCAAGAAAATATTGTCTCAAATTTCCAAATAATCCTTATCCATAAAATACAAGAATTATAAAATGTCTCCCTTCCTTTACCACAAATATAAATAATATAAATTACTTATTAACCCTAATCATTCTTTAATATTCTTAAAGTATCTAACTTAAGTAATATTACAGTACAAAATACCTACTAATGTCTATAGATAAAATATAAAAGAAGTAAAGGGTATATTTTAATTTAGTAAATATAGAATATTTAATCAAAAATTTTAGAACGATTTGTACATTAACCAAATACTAAAGTACATTTAAATAAACCGTGTTGAATTAAAATAATATGAATTTTAATTAAGAGTATTAAACTAAACGCACATGTTTTATAGTTGTAAGTTAATTATAGTATTTGTTTTCAAAATGTATATTTTAATTTATAATTACATTAAATTGATAATATTGTCAATTTTTAGTTCATAAATATTAAAAACCTATAAATATTTTTGAATGTATAATTCAAGCCCTAAATTGTATATTGGTCAGATTTAAAAATAACTATTTTTTTAGAGTAATATTTTTTTCCCGGAAAAATGTCAATAAAATATTATTATCTTTGATATAATGGTGACAATTGTTATTTGTTATAATACTCAGTCAATAATATTTGAGTTAGAGATGAGCATCAGCGACTGAAAAATAGGCTGTATATTCCAATCATCACTACCATATCTTTTTTAAAGTTTGTATAAAAAACTGTGGATGATAAAAATGGATGACTTGAAGTTTCATCATTTTGTCCTGAATTTAGAGTAATAGTAATCACTTTGTAATAATCTATATAGTATCAATTGTATATTGTAATAATTAAATACCAAAATTGAAAATGTATCTAAAAATATGGAAATTAAAACCGTAATAACTAATAAGTAACTTCATTGTAATAAATTATAAATATGTAACATTGCATTGTTATTCAGTCTTTATAGTAATTTTATAAAGTACAAGTGAAAATATATCATAAAGTTCTGTCAAACTGGTATGATAAGGCATATTGTTGTCATGGTACAATAAATCTATCATGGATGTGAAATAAAAATTCAATGATTCCATTGATAAATGAGGAAAAAAATTTTTTTTTGTGTATATAAGACTAGACATATTACCAACTAATTCAAATTGCTTGGCTAAAGGACCAGACAATGCAAAATAAATTGTAAGTTCTTCTTTACAAGTAATATGTTTACTTATATTTATCACAGTGTCATACAATGCATTGGGGTCCAATGAAGAACCAAGATCATATACTTTGATGTGACGTTGGTTCCTAAAATATTTTTAAAAAAAAATTAATTAAAAAAAATATAACTACAAGCAATACAAATTGTGAACTTACGTGTATAGTAAACTTTCATTTAATTGGGGAACCATTAACAATCCAACAGGTATAGAATATGTATGACTATGAATCACATAGGTATTAGATGCATCTTTAATATCTTGAAACAAATGTGAGATCATTGGAGTAACACCAGCCTGGTGCAGGTAACCATAAAATATAAATCCAATAATATTTGAAAAACACCAAATTGGAAGTATGCATTTAAATTCTTTCATGTAATGACTAGAAAAATACTTTGAAGTAGAAAATACAATTGGTAATAAAAGAGGTAACAGAAATCTGGGTTCTTGGTGTGGAAAAATCGATAACAGTAATAACGGAATGATCACATTGGCCATCATCAAAGTATTGACTTCATAAATATTTGGTAATAAATGGTAATGACGATTAAAAATACTGTAAAAATAAATAATATATGAATACAAATTGCAAGGTTGTAACATTTTATCTGTGAAACTAAAAACTTACATTTTTATCAAAGAATTGAATTGCAAACGTCCTAGAAAGAGTAGAGTTAAGACATTGAAAAGCAATGGAATGTTAATGATGGCATGAGTCATTCGAAAATGGATACCATGTTCAGCTAAGTTTGATGGCTTTATATTATATTTGATAAAATTTAAAGGTGTTATAACAAAGCTGGCTTTGTTTTCTGTTATTTGCTCAAAGTAAAATGAATCGATGAGTATAAATGAAAATACTCCAGGCAGAGTACATAGAAACAAGACTATAAAACGTATATTGAATATTTTCACGAAACGATCATCATTCTTAGAAAATCCTCTGGAGACCCAATAGAATATAGGGGTAACAGCGAATAGTAAAAAAGTTGGCCTATTGAAGGTACCAACAGCTAAAATAGTACCAATTTCCAAACAATGAGAAAAATGATGACTAGGCAATAGACGTAGCTTACGGCTCATGACTACTTTATCTGTTATTGATGTGCGGTATGCATACATATTTCGTATTTCATTTTCAGCAGCTAAAACCTATAATTAAAAAACATACATAGTTAAAATAAATTTAAAAAAATGTTTACCAACTCATTGTCACATAATCTTACTTTATCTGAAACTGTCATACTGTCAACGACTTTCCACAACAAAAGAGATACCAAAGCCAATTCTAGAGAGTTGGTAAATGTCTTTGTACCAAATACAATTATAACATAAGAACTTGAAAGGAGTAACAAATATCTATTAGACTTAAGTTTGAGTATCTTACATATCCTGAAAAATATGTAATTGTTGATATTATTCTGTACTAGAATATATTAATTTGAACAGTCAAAATCTTTTGTTATTATACTACTGTCATACTTATATAGTGAATAATCAGTTATAAATGACACTGCGCAAGTGACTAATCGGAAAACAAACATCAATAGGAAAGGGCTCCATGGAATTTTATATAATTTAAAAATCCATTTGGCAATATATAATGGCATGCCAAAAATTCCATATAATAACCCTATACTTCTAACTGGTGCATCCTTATTGAATTCCCAAGGGCGGTCATGTACAACTCCAAAGACATCACCTAAAATTAAAAATATTTATTTAGTATCATCACATATTATTTTTTGCAAAAATATAATATGTTCGCTTTAGTTTAGTTTGTTTGAAAAAAAATATAGATTTTTTAGTTTTATAATTATGTTCAAACCATCTTCAAGTTAAATAACTACCTACTATAAAAATATATATTTTAAACTCATGTTATAAACCAAGTATTATTAATTGTATAATGAGCTCAATTAGGTACTTTAAATGATATTATACATTTACTATTAAGTGTAAACATAGTATCCAATAAAAAATTAAAAAATAAAGAGAGTAAATCATCTATGATTCTAATGAAGCGAATGATCATGAAATGAATTATAGTTTCACATTTAATATTGTTAATGTGAGTGAATATCATATTAAAATAACATATATATTAAACTACCTGTGTAATTGTAAAACATTTTTATTTTTTAAAACAAGAACCTTGAGGTATATGTATATCAATAGTAGGACTATTATATAATAATAGCTCAATCATCTGAGCTGTTCACAAATTATCTGAAGACCACTTACCGGTGATGATTTCGGTCGTTTGAAAAAACTCGTCAGGATGAACATAGCCATTTTGTACGAAAACAGTGGATAATATTCTAAAAGCTACCAAAGCACCATATTCCAGTGACATAATATTATATTAAAATATTACAAATATA